TGGAAAGAAAGGGGGGCGGGGGGAGCAGCCGACATACTGTGTTTGGGATCAGAGCCGGATTTTTATCATTTAGTACCCTTTCTTAACAGAAGTGTATCCATTGCTTCAAACTGCTACGGTATTGTCGCAAGCGCACGAAGATATGTTAATCAGATAGACAAAGTAGTCGTATAACGCCCACCAAGAAAGCCCCGCATCAACGTCGTAGCTGCGAAAGCGAGGGTGACTTATCCTTACTGTTCCCAGACTCATAGCCTTTCAGACGGAGAAGTGTTTGGCATCATACTCCAGGTCAAGAAACTGAGTGTACTGAGAGGCCTGAAGTTATACTTCAATTGCTTGAAGCCTTTAACGGTCTGGCTACCCAATAAGTTACTTTACCAGGAGTGTGTGACAAAGAAATAAAAATAAATACGTTAGGTTGGACATACAAAAATAAAGGGATCAGATGGAACAGGCTCACTAAAATTGTTCTCTCTAAAATAGTCTGTCGTTGGCCCAGGTCATCGAATAAACAATAATCAAATTATGGTGGTCCAGAGGTCTTCTTCTGCACGGTTCCCACAAATAATAGATTCCAAAAACGTCTGAAATGTTTTGTACCAGAGTTAGTACATGAGACTCGCGAATGACCGCTGCAAGCGCGTGCAAAATCAGAAGAGAGAGTCGAAGCACGTGACTACGCTAGTATTATGTGAAATCGTACAAGTTCGCGTTTTTGTAGTTTTCCGTATTGAAACCAAAAGCGATTATGCAATCGATGTATTGCGCAGTGTTCGCAGTTTGCGAGCTTATGCCCTGTTGTTCAATGGATCTGATGACACCCTAATAACCAACTTGGGATACAGGGGGAAGCAACGCGTGTTGGTGTATCCTCGGTTAATGTCTACGATATCAAGGATACTACGACTGTCAGCCTTGCCAGGCAGTCTTTGCACGACGTGTATGTTTTGAACGTCGACTGCGCCTACATTATCAGGTCACTTCCCATCGCCAAGGCTTCCGTTCCGGATGATTCGCTGCTGAGCAAATGGATGCACCTAGCGGACGTTCGACCCACACGAACTCCTGGAGACAATATCTCGATTTTGATAGAAACCAAAGTCCCAGAGGCCCACTGGGTTATCGAGCAATGTCGGGGTTCCCAGACCCATCCTTAAGCAAATCTATCGGCCTTGGGATGGGTAATTTTCGGACCAGCTCCTCCCGCAGGACCCAAACGAATGTCAGGCGATTGCCTTAGTACAGAACCTACTATTGAGGACCACATATTGAGGATGTTTGAATCGGATTTCAGCGAAAGTAAAGTACTAATAAATCACTGTCCTTAGAAGACAAGGAGATTGTGAAAATCACAGAGCAGTCTGTAAGCCTGTTGAACGGCCACTACCAGTTGCCGCTGCCTTGGAATGTCGACCGGGAGAACCTGCCTAGTAACCTGGATGTTGCGGAGAAACGGATCAGTTATTTGACTGTGCGAGAGGAAAGTTGGTTTGGACGAACGAATCGAATGAATGTCATTAAGATATCGATGCGTTTCGTTCCAGGCTACGGAACCGAGTACTCCAAAGAGTGCGTATCAGTATCATCGTCATCATCATTATCATCGGAATGTGCTGCTTGCATCAGAGTTTTATGGAATGCAATCTTGGCATCCCGTGAATTCGAAAATACGTCAGAATCTCTCGTTTGCTTGTGTACCAGATAAACAGTCATTGGCAGTAAATTATTACCCACTGAATCTAAAGAATGGATACAGCCGCACTCATTCACCAATTAGCATGAACACATCCACTCACATTGTCCAGAAATTCCGGTGCTTTTGCCGTAATATCCGATGTTGTTGGTACGTCAGTGGTTTTGTTCAGGTCTCTGAGACCTGGTTTGTACAACAGGTCACACTGGGCTACGGTACTGCGGAGCCCAGGAGAGTTTCTTTAATATAATGAAGCTACAATTGGGGGAAAGATGATTAGTGGTAGCTGTAAAACCATCGAATTCATGTTTAAGATGACACCATACCTTTTACTCACCGTCCGTGATTTAACCTAACATAACGCAACAATAAACACAGATGAGTGACGAAAAACGGATTCCGATTAACGTGAATCACATTATGCACCTCAGTAACATCTGACCTTAATAAGACCGGAGAATCGACCCCATACAAAATAAAAAGTATCGTTTTACGACAACTAAATACTGACGAAAACAAATACAGGCCACGATGTGTGTCCAGTATTGTGCCCATTAGTTCTGGATTCCATACACCGCCTTTTGCGTTAGATATCACGGCCAGGGAGACGACTAATTAGGCCACAACTGTTTCGGGTCCATTATTCCAAACTTTCACGTTGAGAACCCTTTCTTACGGAATTTAGATCAACTTTTCAGCCTCAACACAACAAAAACCAAGGGAAACCTAATTGATGTAGATAATTTTCCCGGGTGTTGGAACCAGCGACAAGGATAACCAAGTTCTTTGCGGGATTATTGTTAAATATAAATGATGAATTGTGGACATTGACGGCTTCCAACTATGTAACGTAGTCGATTCAGAACAGAAACGCAATTTACATAATTTCAAAGCGAACAACAACGCATCATATTCAGGCTTGCCTGAAAATTCATGCGCCTGCGTTTGTATACTGTGCTTCTCCTGTGAATCAAACTTTGCCTTACAAATGTATGGCGATAATTTGAAAAAAGGTATCCACCACAAATCTAATAAGTCTGCAGTAGAAAATTTATGCTAATCAGCATATGGCCGTTCGTACAAACTTATTCCAACTATGCGTGCGCATTGGTGATTTGGGGTTTTTTCTAGGACTACGTTGAGCGCCCATGCGCTTCAGGCAGAACTGAGAAGCAACCTGATTCTACAAAATTGTTTTCATGTGTCTGCTGGCTGAATGGGTATCTTTGAAATTCCTCTGGATCACTGGGGACAATAATGCGGATTTTTTCATTAAAACGTCATGGTGAAAACGTGTATCCCAGTCGGAATTGTCCCAACCTGTTCATAATATCAGTGAGAGGAATTAGGCTTTTTGCGGAGTAGTTTATTACAAAATACCACTTGATAAGTTACGGACTATTTGACAGCAAGGCACAACTCTCCTATCCATCTTAATTACAAAAACTGAACATCCATCCTCACCTAAACCCGTCTAGCTGAACACTCCTGGATATTCACTGCGCGTTGCTCAAGTCCAAACAAATGGTAAAAGCGTGTTCACGAATCCCGCAAAGGCCTCTCTTTTCAAGCGGGTTTACAAGAAGAGAACTTACTACTCCCATGCCCCCCATCATCAATGTCACCGTTACACACATCCACCTTTAAAGCTTGTTCGCATGCCATCACTTTCCATTTACCTCCGCCAGGTCGGGTTCTGCAGCGGGTCTAGTCGGCGGCCTTTTCGATATGTCATGCCGCTTACGAATCCGCGTTCCATTTACACTTTTCGACCCCCGGCCATCTTGCATCGGATAGACATTCCCTAGGCAGTCGGTAGCGACTAACGCACCCTGCCATTGACTGCCTAGCTCACGCGACCCCAGTCCACTCCTTACAGGATTCTGGTGATACTTCTACTTCAATTTCGTTCCCATGAGGAATGTTCGCGTCATTCTACTTGCCGTTTCCTGCCTAGTATTTTCCAGAACGTCGTTTAAGTTTTCTTGAGCTCTCCTTCCTTCCTACTCTAGCCGGTTCGAAGACAAGCGTGTTGCCGGCCAAAAGCCAATTTCACTAGTTACATTGTTACACACCTTCACCCTTTAAAGGTCGTTCGCATGCCACCGATTTTCATTCACCTCGGTCAGGACGGCTTCTGCAGCGGTGTCACAGGAAAAGGACCCGTGAAATCCAAGGACCACTGCTCGCCCCTTTCTGGGACAGCAATAGGTTCCATGGAATACGTATCGTGTCCTATTTCATCATTTGGCATCGCTTGCAGGAACCCAAATAATCCATCACCTTACTTCTCAAACCGGGACAGCATTCAATCTGCCAAAGCATATGCCATCCCATGGCATTCGACGATAACGTTTCCGTTCAAAACGGGTAGCACAACATCCGAATCATTGGCGTTCCAGTAAATTATGCCAGCTTTCTTCGGACTCACCCAGTCTTAGTGATTCTGGAGCGGTTCCGATTCCTTGTCCCCCTCTTCAATCTCAATGCTCCTTCCATTTAACAAAGCGAGTAGAGCCATTCGAAAGACAGGATCGTGTTGTTGGAGTTGCATTAACCTCCCGGCATCCAGTTCGATGACGAGAGCACTGGCTCCAATCATGATCCTGAGGACCTCATTTTCAACCTCTGGTCCTGACGGCGAATCATTCAAGTTGTTCTTTTTCCCTGGCACGTGCTGCATTGTAATGTTGTACTCTTGAAGTCGGAATGCCCTACACGCGAGCTTTTTCGAGGATCTCTTGTGTTTTTCATCCAATCCAGGAGGTTGGGATTGGTTTCGACATGAAATCTTTGCACAAACAGATATGGCTTCCATTTATCGAGGGCCCAAGCGGCCTCCGAACACTTTCTCGATGGTCGACCAAGTCGTACATTTGCAGGCATAGAGCCCCAGTCCTTAACAAACAGGCTGTGGTATGCTGCCGTAGAGACCGCTTTGAATGGGGAGCAGCACAATCATTGATATTTGCCAACATTCTATGGCAGTGGGCTAGCTTCTCCGTAACCCGCTTTCTGATCCAGTGGTGTCACCAAAATTCGTGCAAGTTGTGTCTTGGCTCCAGTCATCCGCAGACCAGCCTCACTGCAGCGCTTGGATAACCGTCAAGCTTGATGGCGCCATACCTTGTCACTAATGCGGTCGGCCGGCATGTCCAACTGGGCTGCACCGAGTCCCTAACAGAGTTCCAGTCGATCTTCCAAGAACCGCTTCTAGCCTCATGCAGTGTCGACTTCGTCCGGACCGTGAGAAGGATCTCCAGCGGCGCAAACTTACTCCGGTCGGTCTCCATTTCGGCGGCCGCCGCGACCTCCTTAATATCCTCCGGAGAGTTTCAAACATCCCCATCAACAAAGGGATGTGGTTTTGGAATCTTGGTCTTTATCCCGGTTACGGCACGAACTAAAAGGATGTAGACCATCCCTGCGGGGTAATCTATTACAAACTTCCAGTTGACCAGTTGCAGACTATTGAACAGGAAAACAAACCTCTCATATGCAACTTAACTAGAAAAACTATCTTTTATCTTCGACTAAACGCGTCTTGCAGAACGTTTCTGAATATTCCACAAAGATCTCTCTTTTCAAGCGAGTTTATAGGAAGAGAACACATTACTCTCATCCCTGCCTCATTTCTAGTATCACCGTTACATCAGCAATCCATGAGTAGATCAGAGAAAGAATGGCTTTATAAGATGACTGAATCTTTCTTTTGATAAGTCGTCACCCGAGGAACCTGTCAATAATATGTGACTATATCGGTAATTTCTTTGATTGAAGGATGAGCGGCGCTATATCTAGTCTAACTGAGAGCTAATCGCACTACTGTTCTTGGCCAAACTCTTACNTACGGCACGAACTAAAAGGATGTAGACCATCCCTGCGGGGTAATCTATTACAAACTTCCAGTTGACCAGTTGCAGACTATTGAACAGGAAAACAAACCTCTCATATGCAACTTAACTAGAAAAACTAACTTTCATCTTCGACTAAACGCGTCTTGCAGAACGTTTCTGAATATTCCACAAAGATCTCTCTTTTCAAGCGAGTTTATAGGAAGAGAACACATTACTCTCATCCCTGCCTCATTTCTAGTATCACCGTTACGTCAGCAATCCATGAGTAGATCAGAGAAAGAATGGCTTTATAAGATGACTGAATCTTTCTTTTGATAAGTCGTCACCCGAGGAACCTGTCAACAATATGTGACTATATCAGTAATTTCTTTGATTGAAGGATGAGCGGCGCTATATCGAGTCTAACTGAGAGCTAACCGCACTACTGTTCTTGGCCAAACTCTTACCTCGTCGTTCAGTGTGCGAATGAAGGAACGACAACCAGACTGATATAGTTTAGGGTTTCCTGTATTAAAATGCAATAGGTTATTGAAAACACAGCTTGGAAAATTTTTCGCATTTGTTCTACTAAGGTGTGCATGAAAAGCTTCCTTTGAAAACTTCAGCACATAACGAGAATCGACATGCATCACACCCACTGATTTGATACACCATACCGTCGAGTAGGAACTGGGTCTCTGAGTTCCCATCTTCGGGATTCCAACAGCCAGTAGACCGCGGGCATATTTTGGCATGTAACAAGGTACTAAGATTTATATTAGGAAAACTAAGTCGATCAACACAATACCAACTCAGTGAAATTGTCTGATCTGCCTGAATGTTTATACATCTCAGTATCTGCGGGGTAGATCATTTCACTGCGTAACAGATGTCGAAGTTGGGCCATTGAACCCAATGGTCAGCAGTCGTTCTACTAGTCTCACTCGTCCACATCCACCGGCAACGACTGGGAAACTGTATTCTTAACGAGAAAACCAGCGCACCCATTGATTCTTTGGTCGGATATTATGTCAAAAG